AATTCAGCATCTATGTATGATTAAAACTCTCACAAATCAGGAACAGAAAGGAACTTCCTCCATCTTATAGAGAGTATAGTAAATTATGCTAATAACAACATACATAAAGATGAAATATTGAATATTTTTTTTGTTTTCAGATCAAAAACAAGACAAGGACATTGCTTTACCATTTCTATTCAGTATTAGAGGTTCTAACTCATACAATGAAGGAAGAAAAGAAATAAAATGCATAAAATTGGAAAGCAAAGGTAAAATAACTATAATTGCAGAAAATATAACTATGTGTGTATAAAATTCTCAGGAATCAGTAAAACAACTACTTAGTGAATTTAGTCAGTGTGATGGTTAATATTACTGTTTGGTTAAATGTTACTCAGGGTGTGTCTGTGGGGATGTTTCCAAATGAGATTAACATTTGAATTGGTGGCCTGCATAAAGTAGACTGCCCTCCATAATGAGGGTGAGCTTCGAGGCCTAAACAGAACAAAAAGTTGTAGTGAGACTCTCTTTGAGAAGGGACATCATTCTTTTTCTGCCTTTTGACTTGGACTCTGACTGAAACTTACACCTTTCGCTCTCTTGGTTTTTAGACTTTCAGAGTCATACTGAAACTATACTAGGTTTCCTGGTCTCCAGTTTTCTTACTGCAAATCCTGGGATTTCTCAGCCTCCATAACCACATAAACCAATTCTTTATAATAAGTCTCTTTCTATACACCATTGGTTCTTATTTGGAAAGCCCAGACTAATACAGTTAAGATTGAGGAATATAAGTTGAATATACAAAAAATTGTTCATATTTCTAAGTACTAATAGCAACAACTGGAAAAATAACATAAAAACAATTCCATTTACAATAGTACCAAAACAAACAAAAATACTTAGGAATAAATTTAACAAAAGATATATTGCTACATTGAAAATCATAAGATACTGCTTAAAAGAATTAAACAATGCTTAATAAATGAAGAAATATGTCACATAATGGTTTAGAATATTGTTAGGATGCCAGTTCTTTCCACACTGATCTAAGACTGATCTCAAGTTCAATCACAATCCCAACAAGATTTTTTTTCTTGGTAGAAATTGACAAGTTAATTTTAAAATGCATATGGAAATGAAAAAGACCTAAAAAAGCCAAAGCTATCATGAAAATAAAGGACAAGCTAGAAGATTCATACTACCTGACTTCAATACTTACTATAATAATACTTGTTTTATACAAAATACTGGTTTTACACAGTAATCAAGAGAATGTTGTATTGGCATAAGGATAGAAAAATACATAAATGGAACAGAACGGAAATCCTGAAATATACCCACACTTTCAGGATGAATTGATTTTTTTTTTATACTTTGGTTAAATACACATAACACAAAATGTACCATTTTAACTGTTTTTAAGTGCACAGTTCTGTAGCATTAGGTACATTCCCATTAGGCAACCATTGCCACGATTCACCTCCAGAATTTTTTTAACTTCCAGACTGAAACCCTGTATCCATTAAATACCAACTCTCCATTACCCCCATTACATAACTCTTGCATAGTATATAAAAATCACACAGTACTGATCACAGATTTAAATGTAGAGCATGAAACGGTAAGACTTTTAAAAGAAAACAGAAGAAAATCATCAGGACCCAGGGCTACTCAAGAATTCTTAGATGGGAGGGGCGCCTGGGTGGCTTAGTCAGTTAAGTGTCTGACTTTCGCTTAGGTCATGATCTCGCGGTTCGTGGGTTCGAGCCCCGCGTCGGGCTCTGTGCTGACTGCCAGCTCAGAGCCTGGAGCCTGTTTCAGTCTGTGACTCCCTCTCTCTCTGACCCTCCCCTGCTCACACTGTCTCTCTCTCTCTCCTAGAAATAAATAAAAACATTAAAAAATTAAAAAAAAAAGAATTCTTAGATGGGAAACTAATAGCAAGATCCATAAAGATTTAAAACATGATAAATTGATATTCATTAAGATTGAAAATGTGTGCATGGTGAAAGACTGTTAAAGAAAACGAAAATGCAAGCTACAAGCTGTGAGAAAAGTGTCTGCAAATCATAAGGATATACAAATGGCAAATAAACACATGAAAAAGATGTTTAAGATCATTAGCCACCAGGTATATCGGATCACCCTGCATCTATTAGAATAGCTGAAATAAAAAACAGTGACAATATCACACGGTATGGGTGTGAAGAAACTGGATCCATCACACATTGCTAGCAGGAATGTAAAGTTGGTGCAATCACTTTGGAAATCAATTTGGCTGTTTCTTTGAAAGCTAAGCATACCGCTTACTATTCAACCTAGCAATCACACTCTGGGCATTTAGCCAGGAGCCGTGAACACTTATGTCCACCCAAAAATCTGTAGATGGATGTTGATAGCAGCTATGTCTATGTGGCCCAATCCTAGAAACAACCCAAGTGTCCTTCGAAGGTTAACCTGTGGTCCATCACAGCATAGAACATCACAGAGGGTGGCCTATTGATGCACATAACAGCTTGGATGGATTTCAAGAATGTTACGCTGAGTGAAAAAAATCTAATTTCAGAAGGTCCTATACTGTATGATTTGATTGATACAGAGTTTCAACATGAAAGATCTATCAAATCGGAGAACAAATCGCTAAGGGTCAGGAATGGGGGCAGCGATGAATACGATTGTAAAAGCGTAGCACGAGAGGGATCTTTGCGGTGATGCGATAGTTCTGTATCTTGAATGTGATGGTAGTTACAACCTGCACTTGTGCTAAAGTGACATAAAACTCTAGGTGTACACTGTGGCAATGTCAGTTTCCTGTTTTGACATCACACTATGGCTATATAAAGATGAAACCATCGGGAGAAATGGCTGAAGAGAACAGGGGACCTCTCTGTACTGTCTTTGGACCTTCCCATGAGTTTCTATTAAAACAAACAACAACAACAACAAAAACCCTCTGCCTCTGGAAAGACAGTAAGAAACTAAAAACTCAAGTCACAGATTAGAAGACAGTATTTTCTTTCTTTTTTTAAAAAAAATTTTTATATGTATTTATTATTGAGACAGAGAGAAACAGACCGTCAGTGGGGGAAAGGCAGAGAGAGGGAGACACAGAATCTGAAGCAGGCTCCAGGCTTTGAGCTGTCAGCACAGAGCCCAACGTGGGGCTTGAACCCATGACCATGAGATCATGACCTGAGCCGAAGATGGATGCTTAACCAACTGAGCCACCCAGGCGCCCCTGGAAGACAGTCTTTTCAATACATTAATATCTCACAAGGAAGTGGAATCAAGAATATGTAACAGACTTCTACACAGCCATAAAAAAAGACAAACAATTCAATTAAAAAATGGTCCAGAGCTTAATACATATATCTTAAAGAAGATGAGTGAAGGCTCAATAAGTATATCATTGGTCATTAGGAAAATGTAAGTTAAAGATGTAATGAGCTGCTACTTCTCATACACTAGGATGGCTAAAATTTAAAAACCAATAATGCTGAATATTGGCTGAGATGTGGGACAACTATACCCCATATATTGCTGGTGAGTGTATAAAATGAGACACTTACTTTGGAAAACTGCCTGTCAGCTTCTAAAACAAAGTTAAACCAGGGTGCCTGGGTGGCTCAGTTGGTTAAGTGTCTGACTTCAGCTCAGGTCATGATCTCACAGTTGGTGAGTTTGAGCTCCACAATGGGCTTGGTGCTGACAGCTCAGAGCCTGGAACCTGCTTTGGATTCCGTGTCTCCCTTTCTCTCTTCCTCCTCTGCTTATGCTCTGTCTCTCTCTGTCTCTCAAAAATAAATAAACGTTAAAAAAATTTTTCAAGTTAAACCTACACATACCCTATGGTCCAGTAATTACAGTCTTAGATGGATATCCAGGAGAAATAAAAGATATGCCTTCAAAAAGACTGAAAAAGAATGTTTATAGCAGCTTTGTACATAATTCCCTCAAACTGGAAACAACACACATGTCCATCCACAAGAAAATATACTCGGCGATAAAAAAGAATGAACACCAACAATATGGCTAAATCTCAAAAAACATTATGTTGGGTGAAATAAGCCAAACACAAAAGAGTACAAGCTGCGTGATTCCATTTATATGAAGCTCATTTCTATTCCAAGATATGGAAAAAGTACTCTGTAGTGACAGAGACCAGAACAGTCATTGCCTATGTATGTGGGGGGGGGGGGGGGGGAGTTTGGCTGGGCCAGGGCATGAGAGAACTTCCTGGGATCATAGAAATGTTCTGTATCTTGCCTGGGTTGCTTCTTCTACAGATGGATGCATTTGTCAAAACCTATTGATGCGAAACGTATGACTTGTGTTTTTATTGTGTGCAAATTTTAACTTACAATAGATGTGGGATCAAAAAAACCCCAAAAGATGTGGGATCAAGGCCTAAACCTGGGTGGTCCCAGGGAAACTGAGATGTAAGGTCGGTCACTGAGTCTGGAGGCTTCCAGAAGAGACTGGCAAAGTGACAAGGGAGTCCCCACTTTAGGAGAAGCGAGGAAAAAGTCAGCTCCTCGCTGAGCAGAAACTAGCCTCCTTCCCAGATCCCCAGGGATCAAAGAGGGACAGTAATCAAAGGGCCATTCTGAAGCAGCAGGTTCTCATGATACAGACCTGCCCTGACTTTTGGGTCTGCCCTGGTTATTTTCTTGGGTGTTACTGTAGAAATGATAGGTCTGCGAATGCCTGACCATCTGGTACCCTGCTCATCACGGAGAGTGGGAAAGTGCCAGAAGGACAGTGTTTGTCTGTAATACTGGCATCGAGGCTGACTTTCTGAGACTTCAGAGAGGGAGCTGGTCTATAACCTGAAGCATCCTGTACGCTGCCCTTTTCTTTGCTGGGACTCTTCCTCTGAAGACTCTATTTGCAAAGTTAGCTCTCTGCCCAGCAAATTTGTTTTTGTTAAGAGAGTCTGAATCAATGACTTCTTTAACACGCTTTGATTACCTAATCTCTAGGCTGCATCTCATCTCTGTCATCAATTAGGTGATCCTTGGAGCTGAGCTGAGAGAACTGAATCTCCCCAGAGCCTCAAACCTGGTTTATAAATGGAAACTACCAATGGTAAGTCCTCATTCCAGCTTCCCTCCCTGTAAAGAAGGGACTAGAGAGGGGAAGTCGTCGTGTTTGAACACTGCATCAGGGGAAAAGACAAAGGCAATGGGGTCCATTGCCTCAGAGCTCAGTTCCTTGTAAGAAGTCCTCCTCAGCTTACTTCACAGGATTGTTTTTTCATACTTAAAATTTTTTTTAAAGTTTATTTATTTTGAGAGAGAGAGAGTGCAAGCAGGGAAGGGGCAGAGAGAGAGGTAAGAGAGAATCCCAAGCAGGCTCCCAAGCTGTCAGCACAGACAGAGCCCCGATGTGGGGCTCAAACTCATGAACAACGAAATCATGACCTGAGCTGAGACCAAGAGTCAGATGCTTAACTGACTGAGCCACCCAGGCGCCCCTGGTTTTTTACACTTTTAGTGATCCAAAAAGGTGCTCCCTCCTGATTTCCCTGTGAAGGCCACAGCACCCTCCCCGCCTCTCAGGCTAGGCACCTTGGAATCATTTTGCCTCCTCACTCCTCCTTGCCCTCTATACAGGGTGACGGTTTCTAGGTGCTGAAAATGCCACCTCTCCTGGGCTCTCACCCCCACCTTCCCCCATGTCCAGCACCTCCCTTGTTCAGACTTTGATTTCTTCTCATCTGGACCAGTTGACCTGGCTCCCCTGCGTCTAGCCCCGCCTCCGTGCAATCCAGCCTATGGATTTCTGTGTGGTTACCTGACCTAGTGTATAGCCCAGGTTACCTGACCTAGTGTATAGCTCGGATCACTCTGGCCCCATGCTCAAAAATCTTTAGCAGTTTACATTCGCTTACGGAGGTAAGTATAAATAAACTCTTTACTCGGAATCTGCTTTCCAGTCTCTTGCCTGAATAATCGCCCACATACTGAGTGGCCTGACTACTGGCCCGCTTTTCAACTCTGGACCTTCCTTCATCGTATTCCTCCTTTGTGGGGAGGCTTTCATTTCTGTTCACTTCATCCTTCCATATTCCTTCTTCCAAAAGTCGCCTCTAACCGGACATGTCCTTTTTGTCCCCTAAGCTACCTCAGCACATAACAAAACAAAACAACAAAACTCTTGCAGTACTGACCCTCTGTCTTATGTTATAGTGAAGCCAATATCTGTCTTATTCCCATTATTAGATTGTCAACTCCTCAAAGGACAAAGCCACATTTCACTTATCTCCATAGATAAGTGACTATCTAGACACTTTTCTAGATTTAATCCATTACTTAGCACACAGCTGTTATTAGATAAATATTTGTTGACTCGAATTCTTTTTTTTTTTTTTTTGTTAATGTTTATTTATTTTGGGGAGAGATAAAAAATGAGTGGGGGTGGGGCAGAGGGAAAGGAAGCCACAGAATCCGAAGCAGGCTCCAGGCTCTGACCTGTCCGCACAGTTGGATGCTCAACCGACTGAGCCTTCCAGGTGCTCCTGTTGACTCAAATTCAGTACCCACTATTTAAAATTATTTATACTATTTGAGGTTAGTATTTGCTACTAGAGTTTGGCCTGAACCAAAGTTTTAAAAAGCATAACTGCCATCTTTCAAAAAGTTGAGCTCTGTTTTCAGCCTGTATAATGTTTAAAATGTGGGGAAAGGCCATGAAGCAAGACTGCTGTTCTTTAACGCTCCTCGAACTATTATGACTCGTCATGGCCTCATTTAAAGAGATGCTGTACTTCCTTAGAGAATATCATATGGACATGAAGAGAACCACAGGCTTTAGGAATCGTCAGGGAAGCAGAATGAGGAACGCCCGGCGACGGCCGAAGGCTGCTGTGGGGGGGGGGGGGGGGGGCAGAAGTGAAGAAGGCTCTGTAAAATGGCCCCGGAGCTGGGCCTGCCATCTGTGGCTAGGTCAGCTATCATGGCCTCAGACCCACTCTGGAGTCATGACCTTTTTTTTTCTGATGAACTTTGTATTAAATGCTATTCTTGTTCTGCGTTAACATTTGGTAAGTTGTTCTTGCCAACCTCAAGTTGTCTAGGCTTTACTGAGGGAACCAAGGAAAGGGTATTTTAATCCAAGTTTGTACCAGGGGATTAAAGGAATGAGGTGGATTTTGTAATAGTAGGAGTCATTGAAATTCTTTTTTTAAATGTTTACTTATTTGTTTTGAGAGAGAGAGCAGGGGTGGGGCAGAGAGAGAATCCCAAGTAGGAACCATGCTGTGCTGTCAACACAGAGCCCAATGCAGCACCCTGAGCTCGCAATCTCATGATCTGCGCCAAACTCAGGAGTCTTTGGACACTTAACTGACTGAGCTGCCCAGGTGCCCAGTAATTCTTAAGGGGAAGATAAACATCTATAAGCTGGAGGGGTAGGGCAGAGTGAGGCTGATTTTATATCTTCCTCTGTTTACTTGGAGATTTCTTTCCGGAACTCTTCTCTGATGCAACTGTGGAGCATTTCATTACTGTTTCAAACAAGAGAACCAGTTCCTGTCTAAGATGCTGAGTAAATATTCTCGGATTGACTGCTGATAAATGCCTCAACTGTTCCAAATGGATTAGCTCTGCTCGAAGCAAGAGCCATATTGAATTTCCATCCAAGATGACTACTGGCCCTTCTGCAACCCAGAAATGACCTGAAATCACATGAGCTCTTTTTGTTTTGATAAATCATGGGCTTCCAGTCTCTCTGAAGCCCAGGCCCTGGCCTCCCTGACTACACATTAGACCCTCTGACATGAGAGGTCTCTAAACCTGAGGAAAAAGCCTGCATTACTTTTCATGTTTCCATGGGCCTCCAAGGACACATCCTTATTCTATCCACAATATTCAGCCAGTTTTCCTTCTCTGCTGGCTTCCTCTCCTTTTGTTGTGAAGAACAGCCTCTGAGGCAGGAGAGCACTTAAACCAAGATGTTCCCTGGAGACGCTGAGGAGCCTAGAACTTGATTTAGTCCTCAGTGGGGAGCTCAGTCCTAAAGAGGGAGGAGGAAGAGAAGAACTCAGGCCTGGGGGCGGCAGGGGGTCACCTCTCCTCAGTCTTTTTGGGCAGGGCTGGAGGCTGTAGCCGTTTGGCTTCAGGAATCAGGTCTGGGTTCTCTGAGTACCTCGTGCAACTTGTTTATTTTTTTTAAATGTTTATTTATTTTTTGGGGGCGGAGGAGCAGAGAGAGGGAGATAGAGGATCCGAAGTGGGTTCTGTGCTGACAGCAGAGAGCTGGATGTGGGGCTTGAACCCACAAACCGTGAGATCATGAACAGAGCCAAAGTCAGACACTTAACCAGCTGAGCCACCCAGGTGTCCCTGGGTGCTTTTGTGTGTTTAACACCAGGTTATCCCCGCCCCTTTGGGAAGAAGCCAGGCATTACCTTCAGCTGGATTTACGCGCTCTGATTTCAGACTGTACTGAACTTCTTTTTTTTTTTTTTTTTTTTTTTAAATGTTTTTTATTTATTTCTAAGAGAG